CATAAAATTGTAAAAGTCTCAATTTAATATTTTAAATATCAAATTTTGTTTCACTTTAATCCCTCAAATTAGTTGGTGTTGACTAGAGTTGACATGGCACTAGCACTAAATAGAATGTTGAACTTGCCGTTGCATATAACTATTTCAAATTAATCCACCTAACTTAAAATTATTTTTCAATTTAGTCCTTTCTACATCAATTTGCTCTTCTTCTTCATTCTTCCTTTAATTATCTATTTTTTTCTCCCCGTTTTTAAGCTTAAACATACTTCTTCTTTACCAAAAGCAAGTGAAGAGATTGATCATGGGTAGGAATTTGATTTGAAAGTTGTGCAATGTCTTAAAATTCACAGTTTCAAGAGAGTAGGTGGAGGTGGAGCAAGGAAGTTTTGCTTCTGTGGTTTCAATCCAGTACTCAAAATCTCTAAAACTCAAGAGAATCTTGGTAAACTATTATATGGTTGTGCTAAATATGAGGTAAGTACTTTGTTTTGATGGGTGTTGGTGTTTATATATTTTGCGTTTTTGTATTTTTTAAGAATCCTTGTAACTTCAAACAATTACCTTTTTTTTTGTTTCCAATTGCATTGCAAGAAGGAAACTATTATAACTATTTTTGGTAGGCTAATGATGGGGTAGTGGATATGTCAAAAGCTGTGTGTGAAGTTATGAATGATAGTATCACAAGTGATATTCAAGAGTGAAAGATTAATTTGACATGAAAAATTAGGTGTTTTGAGACTAAAATTAGAAATCTATACAAAATCATTATTGTAATATTTATTGTGATCATTGTTGGTTTCATATTGTTGAGCTTAATATGTTTAAGTTTAAGAAAGTAGTAAATGTAAGACTTTGGAGTGCTGAAAATGTCAAATGTTATGCTAAACCATTATAATCAACAACGTTTAAGAAATTAAGGAATTTTGGTAATTTTTCTCCTAACATTTTTTTTCTCATTTTGTTTCAGAGTGTTAAACTCATTTAGTTGTGCATACAGATTTGTTGTAAACCATTATGAAAATAACAATAAAGAATATATGAAAACAACAACAAAAGCTTAACATAAAAACAATAAAGCTTAATCATGGTTGCATTGAACAAAATAAAGCCTTGTACAAAATAAATTCTAAATCCTATACAATATTATACATTTCAATTTTTCAGTTTGTCTTCCTAGAAAGCTTGAACTTAGGGTTTGACACAACTTGAGATTAAACGTTCAATTTGAGTTTTGAGATTGGAATGATATTGAGGATTCGATGAAAAGGAAGAGGGAGGGATGGAGAAGAATGTTAAAGAAGAAAATAGAATATGAATGTCGATGATAAATAATAGAGTTTAAGGACCAAATTAAAACAAAATTAAAAATAAAAATAAAAATAAAATAAAATTTAAAATTTATCATCTCAGTGTCACATTAACACTTATTAAAGCAAACTAATAGGAGTGACTAATATAAAATAAAATTTTAAATTTTAAAAATTAAATTGAAACTTTTATAATTTGTGGATAAAATTGATACAACCTTATAATTTCATGACCAATTTGATGCTTTACTCTTTATAATATTTAGTGTAAATTATATTTTCATATATTTTAATAAGTTAATAATATAATTTTTTAATATTTTTATTAATGTATAAAGTAATACTTTTTGTCAAAATCATACATATCGTTCACTAAAATCATGTTCAGGTGTCACATTATATTTATTGTGATTCAAATTTAATACCACAAAATAATATATCATTTTAAAACATAAATGTATTTAATATTTTAATTTAATAATTAAAAATATAAAAAAGATAAAGATTGAATTATTTTAATCTTTTTGTGTAGTTTTTTATTTTTAAATTTTATTTATATAAATATTGTAATTAAAACTTGAAAAATTATTTTTCAAAATATTTCTTTCTATTAATTTTTGCAGTTATATTATATATATATATATAAATTATTTTTTTTGCTGTTACATAACTTTTGTGTGGTTGGCAATTGTACGAGGTCAGCCACGATCTTGAGAAATAGAAAAAGTCAAAGTTCTAATCTTTAATTGAGCTATCAATCGGCGTGTTCCACTCCAGAATGGACCCGGTGCAAAGAATACGGAAAAGATGGACGAAAACCGGTTTTGATAAAAGAAAATTTAGTTTTATAAAACAAAATCCAAATCATGTGTAGACAAAAAGATAAAGCGAATTGATTATTTCATTTTTTAAAAATTTGAATTTTTAACTCCAGTTTAGTTTGAATTAAAGATTGGACCTTTGAATTCAGATTTTTTTGTCTATTCTTATCGTACAGGTTTTGAAAAAAAAAATTGAAGAAGAAAAGATAGATGAAAAAGAAAGCCTCAATTTGCATGACCTTGTATTCAAATAAGCTTCTCTCACAACTTTGATTCATATTTGATTTTCGCACAACTCTTATTGGCGATTTGCTTTTTGGCTTTTTGCACGATTTGTTTTCTGATAATGCGTAGCTTCTAACAATTGCTATTAGCATAGCCTAGATAATTGGAAAACAGAAAAAAAATTACAGAGAGAGAAAGTAATACTCATGCTTCATCCAAAATCGATTCTGAATGTTGGAAGACTGGTGCAATTTGCCTGCCAGAGAATAGATACTCAAATCATTCACTTTTCTTATAGATATACACTTATATTATAGGAATTGAATTGGAATTGTAACAAGATTAGAAATAATTTTCCTGATCAAATATGTAACATCATTGCTCAAATATTCTTCATGATATTTTTAAAAGTCAAGAATCTTTTTAACAATAGATCTTCTCTAATAAAACTGTTTACCAGATAGTTGATGATTATACTCAGATTTTTGGTTTAGGAATGATATATTTAAGCTAATATAAAATTGGAATAGTCCTGCTAAAATAACCTTATTCTTATGGAAAGTCTTCTTACTAATATAGAAAGAAGCAGAAGAGGTATGATTGAGTTCTCTCTACTCTAAGTGTAGTGAAGCTTCTAAATCTGTTATGCATGTTCTTCACAATTGTCTTTATGTTAGAAAGATTTTTGGGATCACTTTATTCTTCTTAATTATTTGGTCTATTTTTTTAAGTAATGGTCTGTCCGAATGGCTGAGATGTAATTTAGATAATCAGAGAATTAATAATTTCCATAGATGAAGTAAGTTGTTTAGCATTATTATTTGGAATTTATGAAGAGAAAAAAATGCTGTTATAATTCATAATATATTTACTTATCCTAAAGTTTTTATTGAAAAAAATATTATGAGTTTGAGTTTTAGGAATAGATGGCATCCCCCCTTATTGATCAAGTGAAGCTAAATATGGATGAGGTAGTATCCCGTTATCTTGGAGCTAAGGGCTATCAAGGATTGATTTGCGATCACTATGGTAATCTTGTTGCTTGATTTTTTAGCAGGTTAGACCCTTGCATTCCCTTGCAGCTAAACTTTGGGACTTATTTTTTTGAATCCAGCTAGTCATTCAAAAGGACATTAACTTCATTTGAATTGCAAGTAATTCTAAAGATGCAATTTCTCTAGTCTTATCTCTCATCTTTTATTTTCACTGATTAATAGTATTAAGAATCAATTAAAAAGTAGTAGTTTCATTAAGTTTGATTACATTTATTGAGAAACTAATCAGAATAAGTTTGGTAAGATAGCTATTGAAGAAGGTTTGTCTCTTATTTATTTTGATAAAGACTCTTCTTCCTCTTAAGTCATTTTTAAATATAGATGTTATGGGTATTTAGCTGTCCAGAATGTTATGAGTATTTAGCTGTTCAGAATGATTTCTTAGATCTCTTGTGTATTGTTTGTTTGAACTTTTAATATAAAAATAAAATAAAGCTTTATTTTATTTTGTTTCATAGTGCACATATTTTATTTTTAATTAATAAATTAACATGGATTAAAAAAATTTGCAAATCTATTTAGTTTTTTTTTTTTACCTATTGAATATACAAATATTAATTTAAGATTAAAAAATTTATTTAATATCAATTCAAGTATTGAAATACCATCAAACATATAAATTAATGAACAAAAAGTTATTATAACTTAACGGTAATCTCAAATTCAAGTTTTACTAACCAAGTTTAATATTTGGAGAAAGAATTTTACCATTTATTATAGTTCGAGATGACTCAAATAAGATTAAAGAAAGTATTTAATATTAAAATGATTTTTTATTATTTTAATGCTTGAATAATTTAATATTATAAATGTTTAGAAAAACTAAATTTATGTTAAGTATAATTTTAAAGGATTAAAAACAATTACAATATTTAATTTAGCAAATTTATTGATGTATTCAATATTTTTTAATATTACAATAATTACTTAATATATATAATAATTAACTGACAATATAAATTATGATGATTTACCCTTTAAGTGAATTAGACTTGTAATATATGCTTTTAAGTTCATACTATTATCTAATAAAAATATGAACTTTAATAATTCTTTTCATAAATTTAATCGCACAAAAAAAATAATCAAATTTTGTTTTAAGGTAAGATTATAAAATTAAAATACATTGCAAACTATTATATTTTATGTATTATTTCAATTTCAAAAAACAATATAACAATAAAAATTATAAAATTAAAATACATAGGAGTAAATAAAATTAATTAAAATTTATTTAAAAATGATCTAATAAACGTTATTTTTATAGTATGATCTAATAAACTTAAAAGACTTAAAAAAAAAAGATTGTCATATGATCTTAAATTTTAATAATTAATAATAAAAATATAAAAAGGTGTCATGATATTAATTCATAACCTCTGAAGTGTGGTACTACATTGAGATCCTCTAAAGCTGATCATATTCCTTGGAGAGAGGCCCACAGTGTTAAATCTAACAATTTAAATATTAAAAATATTGTTTAAAAAAGTTTAATATTATAATAATATAATTTTAATGGATGAGAGAATGAGGATCCATTTCTCGTGCGTGATATTAAAGTGTGGAACGCTATAAATTACATTAGTTATTTTATTATACTCAGTGATTAAGATTAGGGCCTGCGATCCAAAATCATTGAAGATGGCGGCAACTACTCCAAAACCCGCGTTCACCTCTCTCCCTTCTTCCGCTCCAAAGCACTTTACCAACTTCGCAACCCTCCCATTTTCCTCAACCCCAAACAGCCCCTCTCAATCCCAACGCCGTTCCCTTCGAATCTCCAGCTCCCTCTCCGACCCTACGCCCAAAGCCACCGCCTCCGCCGTTGCCCCCGCCACCGAACTCTTCGTTTCCCGATTTGCTCTCGACCAGCCCCGCAAGGGCGCTGACATTCTCGTCGAAGCCCTTGAGCGTCAAGGCGTCACCGATGTCTTCGCCTACCCTGGCGGCGCGTCGATGGAGATCCACCAAGCCCTCACGCGCTCCGCCACCATCCGCAACGTCCTCCCCCGCCATGAGCAAGGCGGCGTTTTCGCCGCCGAGGGTTATGCCCGCTCCTCCGGCCTCCCGGGCGTCTGCATCGCCACCTCCGGCCCCGGCGCTACCAATCTCGTCAGCGGCCTCGCAGACGCCATGCTCGATAGCGTTCCCCTCGTCGCCATCACCGGCCAAGTCCCTCGCCGCATGATTGGCACCGACGCATTCCAAGAAACCCCTATCGTTGAGGTAACGCGATCCATCACCAAGCACAACTACCTTGTTCTTGACGTAGATGACATCCCTAGGATCGTGAATGAAGCTTTTTTCTTAGCAACTTCTGGAAGACCTGGTCCTGTGTTAATTGATATACCTAAAGATATTCAACAACAGCTTGCGGTTCCCAATTGGGATCAACCAATTAGGTTAACTGGTTACACTTCTAGGTTACCTAAGTCTCCCAATGAGGCACATTTGGAGCTCATTGTGAGGTTGCTCTTGGAATCTAAGAAACCTGTTTTGTATGTTGGTGGTGGGTGTTTGAACTCTAGTGAGGAATTGAGGCGTTTTGTTGAACATACTGGTGTTCCTGTTGCTAGTACTTTGATGGGTCTAGGTGCTTACCCCACTGCTGACGAGAATTCCCTACAAATGCTTGGAATGCATGGAACTGTTTATGCTAATTATGCTGTGGATAGATGTGATCTCTTGCTTGCGTTTGGGGTGCGGTTTGACGATCGTGTCACGGGGAAGCTTGAGGCTTTTGCTAGTCGGGCGAAGATTGTTCACATTGATATTGATTCGGCTGAGATTGGGAAGAACAAGCAGCCACATGTGTCGGTTTGTGGCGATTTGAAGTTGGCCTTGAAAGGGATAAATAGGATATTGGAGAGCAAAGGGCTTGGGGGTATACTTGATTTCAGAGCTTGGAGAGAGGAACTGAATGAGCAGAAACACAGGTTCCCTTTGAGTTATCAGACGTTTGAGGAAGCTATTCCTCCTCAGTATGCCATACAGGTTCTTGATGAGCTGACCAATGGAAATGCTATTGTAAGTACTGGAGTTGGGCAGCACCAGATGTGGGCTGCTCAGTTTTACAAGTATAAGAGACCTAGGCAGTGGTTGACATCGGGTGGTCTTGGTGCCATGGGGTTTGGATTGCCTGCTGCCATTGGAGCTGCTGTGGCTAACCCAGGCGCAGTTGTGGTTGACATTGACGGTGATGGGAGTTTTATGATGAACGTTCAGGAGCTGGCCACTATTAAGGTGGAGAAACTCCCTGTTAAGATACTGTTGTTGAATAATCAACACTTGGGTATGGTTGTTCAATGGGAAGATCGCTTTTATAAGTCTAATAGAGCTCACACTTATCTTGGAGACCCGTCTAAGGAAGATGAAATATTCCCAAACATGTTGAAGTTTGCCGATGCTTGTGGGATACCAGCAGCACGTGTGACGAAGAAAGAAGACCTTAGAGCAGCAATTCAGAAAATGTTGGATACCCCTGGCCCCTACCTTCTTGATGTCATTGTACCCCATCAGGAGCATGTCTTGCCAATGATTCCTAGCAATGGAACTTTCCAGGACGTGATAACTGAGGGTGATGGAAGGACAAGTTACTGATTTCCTGAGCATATTTATCTTGATGGTGGTTTTGTATAATACTAGGCTATATCAGCTTCTAATTTTTGTATTAAGTCAGCAACTAAAGTAGGCTGTTTGTTTCTATACAATTTCCGTTTCTTTTACGTGAATGTAACCCCTACTGCTCTGTAAATGAGTGCAAGTAATATTCTTTTTGTTCATTATATCTCCCCTTGGTTATTTGGTTGATTATTTTGGTGCTGAAATTGCATTCATGGTTACTTAGCAAAATATTGCAATCAGAATTCAGAAGCTTATTTCTTTGTACCAAAAGCACAGAACTGGTAGTTAGCTATGGAAAACACATGAATTAGCATGTAGAACTGAGTTCATTGTCTCTTAGATACTAACTTTGACAGCACTTATATTTTCTCTTGGCTGTCGTATTGAAATTTGAATTCCTTAATATCAACACTGTTACGCCGCCCGGTTTTTATGCAAAATTGTCTGCTACAGGCAGGTCTTTTGATTGAGTTCTCAAAAGAGAATTAGAGGAAGAAGCAAGAAAGTTTTCTTTGATAGAGGTTATTCTGTGAAGTTGCTTGGTTAGAATTGATGGCAAAAAGTGTGGGGTGTTTTTCATGTTACTAGTCCAGGTAGTTGTGCAAATTAGGCATAGCCTCTTCACTTTAATTTATCTTATTATTATTATTATTATTGTATTTAATTTTTTTAAATTATTGTATTTCCCTTAATTATCTTTTGGAGAATGCTAATTTGTGTCATAAATGTTTATATAAAAGTGTCATATTTAACAATTAGTTTTATTGTAGTTTTCTTTTTTTTAAGAAAAACCAACTAGAGCTCGTACTACTATTAAATACATGAATTAATCAGCATATAATTATTTAAGTTTAATCTATAATATCAAATTTGAGTCTTACATGAGTATGGTTTAATTTAAAAATTGTCAATGACTTTTTAATTTTCAAAAAATTAGTTACAATTAAAAGTTGCCATTAGCAAGATATAAAAAAATAATTAGTATTTACTTTGAAAAATCACAATTGGTAAGATTTTGTAAAAAAAATAAAATTCTGATTACTAAAATTGTTATTGGCAACTTTTTATGACAAAAAAAGTTATTCTGATACTAAAAAAGTTGCCAATATACTTTTTTCAAGCTTTAAAATAATTAAAAAATTATTCTTTTCATTTAAAATAATCATTGACAATTTTTAAAGAAAAAAATTGCTATTGTGAGTTTTTATTATTGAGCCTATAAATACTACTTTCTTCATTTGTAACAAATAGCAAGTGAAAGAAAGCAAAAGTTTTTTAGAAAGTGACTTAGTTTATTCATTTGTATTTTAAAAAAAGTATGAGTATGGCAATAGTAATATACTTTAATTGAAGAGATTATTACAAACACTAGCGAAAGTGTGGTATTTTTGTACAAAAAGTCAATATGTGCGTATATTGCAAATAATGTATTATTTGGTGAACTGAAGTCTTGACTTGCTTAATATATTGAGATTCAATTTTCAAAAAAATATCTATAAAGTATTACATATAAGTGTTTAATATCGATATTTGGTGATTTCATGCAATATTATACAAATCCAATAACAAGCGACGATGGTGTTCAACAAATATTTTAGATACATTAACAACATTGTCCTTTAACTTCTACCATTGAGTTGCATGTTATTTTCAAAGAAATTTTTGTTAACATTTAGCAAGAAGATGAAGAGGAGGAAGCATATGCAAGCACTGTGGTAGATAGAGAGGTAGAATGAGAAGAGAACAATATTGAAAGTAATGACAATGGCTTTTAAGGATAACATAGTAGCGGCGATGATAGTGAAGAAGATGATGTAGATGATGACAAGCCCTATTTGTCAAACACAATGGTTGGACAATATCTGTTTGGGGAGTCACCCTTTATGTTTGCTTTAGATCTTGATGCTATATATCATGAGTTTTCAAGGTATGAAAGCTTGGGTATGTGTTGTTTATAATTATGTTGTTGATGAATTAAATTTTAGTTTTAATTAGTTTATGTTTGTGTTTGCATTTGATAGGTCATTGTCATGTAGATGAAAGATTGTATGTTTGAATGATAGAAAAGTTGTTATACGAAGAATTAAGCATTATAATATATCAAAAAGAGTGGAATATAAAGTATTCAAGTCATAACCAAATATGTTTTATTGTAAATGCACGAAGTATGAAATAAATTGTGAATAACTTCTTTAGGCTACTTTTAGAAAGAATAGGTTTATTTGATAGATTAAAAAATATAACAACCCACACATTTGTATAAGGGGTAGGATTCTTAAGATTATATGAAGTTGGATTCAGAGATAATTGCAAAATGTATCAAGCTAATGGTAGACCTTTCATTTAAGATAGAACTAATGATTGATAAGATTCAATCTCAATATAGATACACGACAACGTATCAAAAAACGTGGATGAAAAATAAATGGCAATTAAAAAAATTTTGATCAGCAAGAAGCCTAATTTGAAGCTTTGCCACAATGATGTGTAACAATGTGTGATGTTGTTCAAAGATTAATTGTTCTGTTGGATATTGCATAGGCCTACCATAATGCGGCATTCTATTTATAAACATGTGTGCTTGTTTCAGTTGTGAGAGTTATTCATCCATTGAAATGATTGCCACTAGTTTCTTTGCGGTGGCCAATAATACTTCTCATTTGATTGTATTGAAGATGTTGGAATCCCTTGTTGTTGCATGAGTGATGTATCCATAGGAAAGTCCTTATGATGGAAAAGTGGTGGTTCCATAAGGAACTATTGTTGTTGGTTGTTGACGCTCCATTTGGGGGAATAACCATAGTCAATTTATTGCATAGTGTACCATGCCAATATTCATAAGAAGGATAATAGTTGTCAATTTACAATCCTTCTAAGATACACTAATATTGATTCTCCCACATTATCCCCAAGTCATCATGAATGAGACTTCAATTTTTTAATTTTCTTAATCCTCGTAAGTTTTTGTTATAAACTCCCTCAAGACTTTTGAGAGGGAGAGGAATAAGTTGAGTATATTCAAATTGACACATTGCATGATCAATTGTGTGCCACTCTATTACTTCAAAATAAATCAAAGGGCTAACAATTGACCACACAATTCATTCTTTTCTCACGTTATATGAAATTACAACATAAATATCCTCCTTCCCAGATAATCGCCACAAAAGCTACAATTAATAACCAAATATTAGTGTTATAAACTTTAACAAATATTTTTTGGACGCGTTTAACATATTTAACAATATATTAATAGTTTACCGTATGAACACTCGTTTAATTCAATGCTAATATGATAATCTTAAGATCCCTAAATGGAATGTTTGTTGGATATTGCAGTTGTCTCCTTATGAGAGCAAGTAGAAATAATATTGGTTCACTAAGGATAAGAGTAAATCATGTGAGTTGTTTTCACGCCTATACTTGTAGTAGTATAATGCAGCTACAAATTTCTTTAACATCATGTCATGAATAACGATCTAAACCTTTACAAATAAAGGAAAGACATGAACCTCAACTATAATTCCTAATTTTATTCACATGCACCAATAGCTGTAAGATTTTCCATGTACCACATGCATGTTGTCATTCTAACATCAGAATTTTTAGGAAGCCAACCAAAATGTTATATTAGTCATTTTAATGTAATTTTTTTTATCATTCAATAACATTTGATATCAGTTGACGTCGATCCGAAGTCTAAGCAACATATAAATATCTTCTGATGTTGTTGTGCATTCTCCACAAAGTAAATGAAATGTGTATGTCTCAAGCCTCCACTATTTCACAAGTGCATTAACAAGATTACTGTTTATTTTTATTTCACAAATTTGAACAACTTGATCAAGATCATCATGTTGTAAAATATCATCATTTTTTGCCTAGGTGACATTATTGATAAGTGATGAGAGTGTAATTATTCCATTACTTGTATAACAAAAAAAAAGTATTATTAATGAAAAATATTAATTTCACAAAAATATTTATCAATTTCACAAATAATAATTAAAAATATTAAATAAATTATTAAATTAATCTAAATATATTATAAATGTCCTTAATAACTTAAAAATTTGGGTTCAATATAATTTTGACAAAAATTAATTTAAATCCATTAAAATTATTTTGCCACATTAAATTTTAAAGTAATTATATCATAAGTTTTAAAATTGTTATGAATAGCTATAATAGACTTATTAGGATTATAGTTTATGTTAGAATTATAATAACAGGCTTGACCCATTAAAAGTACATATGTATCTTTATAAATATAAGGGTCTCTACACATTGTAGAGCATCTATCTAATTCCACCACATTAATTTGTCTTTCTTTCTCTCTCTCTCTCTTAATTATACATGGTATCAATAGCCTCCTAGGGTTCCCCTCATCGCCGCCATTGTCACTGCTGCCATCACTGCCACCCCACCGCCCTTGCCCCCCCAAAAAAAAACCTAATAGCTTCACAAAAGGTTGACCATGGCTGCTATGGGGATGACAATTTTTTTTCAGTGATTAGAATATGCAATAATTTGATGTTTACAGTTTGAGTGCAATGTTTCTTTCTAGCCATTGAGACAAAAACCCAAGCAATTCCATCATTGTTAGTGGATATACAATGTCTGAACATGATAGTCAGGATGTGCAGGATGCACAATAAAAGGGGGCTGTTATAGGGATTGTATCTCTATCCAAACTTACAGATGTTAAGTTGGATGGGGATGATATAAACTATATGGAGTGAAAGTATTTAGTTAAGATTAACCTAGGTTTGGGAAAGGATAATTATTTGACTGAAATGACATTTGTCAATCCTAAGGATGTTGACACATGAGCAATACGCGACAAAAAGATTCTTATGTTGCTAATAAATTTTGTTGATAGGAGAATACAAGCGATTACTACCCATTGCAAAACCGTAAAAGAGTTGTGCGACTTCTTGCAATTTATTTTTGGGGAAATTTGATAATTTGAATCAGCTGTATGCTCTCTTACAGGAAATTTATTGACTCAAACAAAATAAGCGGAAGTTAATGGACTATTTTTTTGAGTTTAAGAAGCATATTGAAGAGATACAATCTCTTTTAACCTGCAAAACCATTGACGAGATGATAGTGCAACAAAAGAAACTCATGACTTTGAGTTAGCTCTTCAGACTTGATTTGGAATAAGAGGTAGTTTGGTCTCAAATTCTATCCAGTAAACAGGTTGATAATCTCACCGATGTCTTCTCCAGAGTTATGCAGTCTTCTTTTGATGAACCCAAGAGCACTACAGAAAATGAATCTCCTGACCACTCTGCCTTGGTATCCCAGTACAGTAATCGTGGTGGTCGCTGTGGTGGTAGAGGTTGTGGTAATGTACAACGCTATAACTATGACAAATTTGGCTATTATCAGAATCAGTGCACTTATCCTCCACTAAATCAGTCATTTTTCTCATTCACAAGGTAATTCTCACTTTGCTAACTTGGTGTCTCAGCCTAACACAACTACTCAGGAGAAAGAAGGACATAGTGTGTGTATGAGTCATTGATTCTGGCTCTAATGATCATATGACTAGGAATTTAGGTATCCTGTCAACTTTTTGTCTACTCAGCTCTCATTCTTCTGTAACAGTTACTGATGGTTCTAGTGTCCATATTAAGGGCAACAAGTGTAATACCTCTGTTTCAA